ACATGCCTGGGTTGCAGGCCAGTTTCCTGCAGGCCAGTTCCCAGCAGGGGGCACATGAAAGGCAACCATACAATGATGTTTCTCTCCCTCGCTCCTTCCCCTCTAAAGATAAATAAATAAATAAAATCTTTAAAAAAAAAGTTTCAAGTATACAATTCTAGGAAACATCATCTATAAACTGCACTGTGTACTCATCACCCAAAGTCCCCTTCCATCACTATATTTGACCCCCTTTACCCTCTTCAACCTCCCCCACTTCCCTTTTGACAACCACTATACGGTTGTCTATGAGTTTTGTTTGTTCATTTGTTGCTTTCTGTTTTATAACCCACATATCAGTGAAATCATATGGTTCTTGTGCTTTTCCATCTGACTTATTTCACTTAGCACGATATTCTCAAAATCTCTCCAAGTTGTCACAAATGTAGTATTTCATCTTTTCTTATCGCTGAGTAATATTCCAATATGATTGGATAAATAAGATGTGGTACATATAAAAGGAATAGTATTCAGCCATAAGAAAAAATGAAATAATATTTTTTTATTTAGGACTTCCACCAAGATGGAGGCATAGGTGGAAACACTGTGCCTTCTTGCACAAGCAAGTTTAAAGACAACAAAGTTTTAGTAACAAAAAACACAGCCAAAACACAGAAAATTGAACTATACGGGAAGTCCGACAACAACGAAAAGTTCAGCCAGATCAGTATGGGGGGCGGAGCCAGTGACTGCTGGAATGGGGTTGTGCAGGAAAACTAGGCCAGACCAGGCCAGACTGGGCCAGACTAACCCAGGCTCATGGTCAGCAGGTCACAGGCATGGGGTTGCGATGGGCAGACCCAGTGAGGGCGCAAGGTGGCAGGCTGACAACGTCACACATTCGCATGCAGATAAAACAGCGAAGGAGTGAGCAATGAGACAGACTGGGCAGGCCGCAGCGGCAGGAAGTAGCAGAGGGGACCACCATTGCCCCTCTTTGACCCCGCCCCCACATACAGTGTCACAACCCAGCCACTGGGTGGCCCCACGCTGGTGAACACCTAAGGCTCCACTCCTCATACCTAACGGGCGTGAACAGACCAAAACATGGCTCAAGAACAACTCAGAGACCATAACTCTAAGTGACCAAGAAATAGCCAAACTTTCAGATGCACAGTTCAAAACACTGGTGATCAGGATGCTCACAGAACTGGTTGATTTTACTCACAAATTAGAGAAACAAATGAAGGCTAAACTAATTGAAATAAAGGGAAATGCACAGGAAACCAATAGTAATGGAAAGGAAACTGGGGCTCAGATCAAGGGAGTGGACCAGAAGGAAGAAAAAAAATTACCAAACAGAAAAGAATGAAGAAACAAGAATTCAAAAAAATGAGAAGAGGCTTAGGAACCTCCAGGACATCTTTAAACGTTCCAACATCCAAATTATAGGGGTGCCAGAAGGGGAAAAGGAACAGCCACAAGTGCAACACTTATTTGAACAAGTAATAACGGAGAACTTCCCCAATCTGGCAAAGGAAATAGACTTCCAGGAAATCCAGGAAGCTCAGAGAGTCCCAAAGAAGTTGGACCCAAGAAGGAACACACCAAGGCACATCATCATTATATTAGCCAAGATTCAAATGAAGGAGAGAATCCTAGAAGCAGCAAGAGATAAGGGGAAAGTCACCTACAAAGGACTTCCCATCAGACTGTCAGCTGATTTCTCAAAAGAGACCTTATAGGCAAGTAGGGGCTAGAAAGAAGTATTCCAAGTCATGAAATCCAAAGACCTACAACCAAGATTGCTCTATCCAGCAAAGCTTTCATTTAGAATGGAAGGGCAGATAAAGTGCTTCTCAGATAAGGTCAAGTTCAAGGAGTTCATCATCACCAAGCCCTTATTATATGAAATGTTAAGAGACTTATCTAAGAAAAAGAAGATTAAAAAGATGAACAGTGAAAGAACAGCAAACTCACAGTTATTAAGAACCACACCTAAAACAAAAGCAAACTAAGAGGACAGCTAGATCAGGAGCAGAGCCATAGAAATGGAGATCACATGGAGGGTTAGCAACAGGGGAGTGGGAGGAGGAGAAGGGGGGAGAGGGTACAGAAAATAAGTAGCATAGACGGTAGGTAGAAAATAGATAGGAGGGAGGGCAAGAATAGTATGGGAAATATAGAATCTAAAGAACTTGAGATAGGTGGTCATAAACTAAAGGGGGGAATGGGGGGAGGGGGCGCCGGGGGGAGGGGAATGAAGGGGGAACAGAACAACTGCAATGGCAAATCAATAAAATTAAAAAAGAAAAATTGAAATACTACACGCACATTTGCAACAGGAAATAAAGCAATAAGTGAGTAGACACTTACTAGAGGCATCTTCTGTCAGGCTCTCTTTATCCTCAGATTTTGATAGTCTTCTTTTGGAAATCATTTGGACAGTTTTCTGCAGTTAAATTACCTCCTACTTACTACAACAAAATCAGAGAACAGCTGTTATACTCTCAAAGCTTCATAAATTCTGAGAAGTTAAAGCTATAGCTCAAAGAAAACTACTGTATTCAAAACCCAAGTGTTCAATGCTACGTAAATCCAGCTGTTGAGAAAATTTGAACTCCTATATCTGATCAATAGTCCCTTGTTTTCAAGACTTTACTTAGCTGCCTTTTTTTAGCTTGGCCACTTCCCTTTTGCTAAAGGATAAAACCCAGTTCTCTGACATTCAAGATCCTTCACCTTCTAGCCCCAAATTATATCTCTCCTTTAATTTAATAATCCAATACTATATGTTAAGAACTGTTAGGTGTTGGTGTTAAAATTATGAACCAGACATGATGATACCTCATTTCAGGGAGTTCACAATTTAGTAATGAGTAGTCTTGAGGTACTTATTTAACTACAGTCGTGCCCCACATAAGGCTATTTCAGATGACAAACGACATGTTCCACAGAGGTCCCATAAGATTATAATGGAGCTTAAAAATTCCTATCATCTGGTGATATATTAGCCGTTGCAATGTCATAGCACAACACATTCATGTTTGCAGTGGTGTCAGTCATAAAAAAAGTATAGTGCATACAATTATGCACAGCACATAACATTTGATAATAAGTAACTATGCTACTGGCTTATAGTATACTCTACTTATTAAAAAAAAGGTTTTCAGTGAATTGAGTGCCAGCCTGCAAACCAAAGGTTTGCTGGTTCCATTCCCAGTTAGGGCACATGCCTGGGTTGCAGGACACATCCCCATTAGGGGGCACATGAGGGGCAGACACATATTGGTTTCTCTCCTTCTCTTCCTCCCTCCCTCCCCCCTCTCTAAAAATATGTAGATATATATTTTTAAAATAAATATATATATATATATATATTTAAATATATACCTTTAAAAGAAGAAAATTAAAACCGGTTTGCTATGAAACAGCTGTGTACACAGCATCAGCCTCATACATCCGGTTATATCACCTGATTATATCATTTTCTCTTGTGCTTATTTAATCTTTTGTGTTGTACAGTAACGTGCTATACAGGCTTGTAGCCTAGAAGCAAGAGGCTATACCACCTAAGTTTGTGTAAGTACACTCTATGTTTGTACAGTGATGAAGTTGCCTAACAACACATTTCTCAGAATGTATCCCTGTGATTAATCGACTCCTGACTGTACAGTTACACGCTACAAAAGAAAAGCACAGGGTGCTGGGAGGGCTTACAAGTAAATTTAGTCTCGTTGGGGTGGGAGTGATGAGAAAATCTGAGACGATTTCTCAGGGATAATCTCTTTGGGAAAATAATTTTGAGCAGGGGCCTGGGTGTTGAAATAGGAATTAACCAATAGAAGAGGTATGAGACAATAGGTCCAGGCAAAGAAAAACTCAACACTGAAACAGGAAAAAGTTTGTAGTTACAAATGAGACTGCAGAGGCAGGGAGTGCCTGAACCACAGGGCCTTCTGGCCTATCTTGTAAACCAGAACCTTCTTGGTCTTAGTGCTTTTGCATAAAGTGTTCTTTTCACCCCAAATATTCTTATCTGCCTTGAAACTACTACTCATCCTTAAAGACTCAAATGTCATTCTCCTTGAAAAATGTTCCTATCCCCAAGGAAGTTTGCTACTCTAGCTTCCCCACTCCACTGAGCCTATCTAGGAGCTCTACAGACTCCACACTAAGACAGCGGGGCTCTTTGACAGGAACCCAGCCTCATTTATCTCAGTATCCCTGTGCCCAGCACAATATCTGGCATAAAAAAATTCTGAGAATATTTGCCAAATGAGAATGGCTGGCAGGCAGGTAAATACTAATAGCTAACAAGAATTGTTTTTACTTCAGTTATTCCTCACTATTTTTAAGGTAGGTACATTATTATCACAATCAATGAAAGACCTGAGATTCTAACTCAGGCAATCTGGCTACAGAATCCGCCCTCTTAACTATCACCTATACTTTCTCTTGATTATAATACGGCTACCAGTAAGAGTTAACATTTACCATGCACCATGGTAACATCAGGCACCACGCTAAGCGTTTTCTCCATTCATTGCCTCGTTTAATAGCTATAACCACTGTCAGCCATTTTACAGGCGGAAACGCGAAGTCAGAGCCCACTGACTGAAAAGCATGCCCTTAAACCATCTTCTACCTTCTGGTTTACAGAGAAGCTTAAAAGACCGGAAGACGGGACCCGCTGCCTGGCCTAAGGCCATCTGGGTAGGGGTTGAGGATAACAGCCCTTCTCATTTCGCCATTTTAACGACGCTGGGGGATACCTGAGGGTCTATCCCACGATAGGACGTATGAAGACGTTAACGTTCAAGGAGCGGAACCGCGTACGGAAAGGCCCAGCAAGGACCAGGTCTACAAGCCAGGTCGCAGGAGAGCGGAGCCACAACACACAACAAACGCGCACCCACTCGCCCCGCCAATGAACCGTCACCTCCCAAAGTATACTTCTCGCCCGTCCAGTCCAACGCCACCCAGACGTCACCGAACCGCGCCGCGACTTCAAACTTCCGCGCCGGAAGTGGGCGGCCGGGCAGTCCAGCTTGGAGCGGTGCGCCGGGGCTGGGTCTGCGGTAGGTTCCCAGGCCAGCCGGGCTGAAGGTTTGAGAGGACTCTGAAACGAGTTTAAGGGGCAGCTCAGGGCCCCGGGGGAACGAAACCCAGCTACACCTGGCCAGGAACTGGCGCTCTGTGAAGATGGCGGGGCCTGAGCTGCTGCTCGACTCCAACATCCGCCTCTGGGTGGTCCTGCCCATCGTAATCATCACCTTCTTCGTCGGCATGATTCGCCACTACGTGTCCATCCTGCTGCAGAGCGACAAGAAACTCACCCAGGAACAAGTCTCCGACAGGTCAGCACCCCCTGGATCTGGCGACCTCACTCCTCGGTGACCTTGGGCAAGAAAGTGCGGACAATTTACCGCTTTCCCACAGCCTGGGTGACCTAGGCGGAGTTACCTGTGTTTCCTTTCATCATCTGTCAAATTGAGATAATAACTGGATATGCCTCATAGAGCAGGGGTAGGGATTAAATTTTAGATGATGTGTATAAAACCTTTAGCTGGGACGAGTTAAGTGCTCAAAAAATGTTGTTGTTAATATTGTTAGGCAAGCTGTCAACCCTGGGTGGGATTATCTATGAACTGTAGATACGGTGGATGTGGTTATACTACTTTTACCAAACTACAGTGGTGGTCAGCTGAGATACCAAGTGACCAATGCTTGGCAAACATAAAACTGCCATAAAGTGTGAAGAGTTGTAATTATTTCCCCTACTGATTTGGAGATAGCTTTCTCATGTGCTTCATTACAGTGTTTATCTGTAAAGAGAGATAAGTTGAGATGATTTTAAGGTGGTGTCTAGACGTGTGCTCCCTTCATATTAAAATAATAAACATTTTCAATCAGTCGTTCTGATTATTTTCAGAGATCACCTCAGTAAATGTTATTATGTTTTTAACACTTCCCTAGCATTTATTTTTTTAATATTTTATTTATTTACTTTTAGAAAGAGGGGAAAGGAAGGAGAGAGGGAGAGAAACATCACTGTGTGGTTGTGTCTTGCACATCCCCTACTGGGGGCCTGGCCCACAACCCAGGCATGTGCCCTGACTGGGAATCGAACCAGCAACCCTGTGGTTTGCAGGCCTGCACTCAATCCACTGAGCTACACCAGCCAGAGCATTAATCTCCCTTTTTAACAAAAAGGGAAGCCTCAGGCTCAGAACTTCCTATAGACAATGGTATCTAGTTAAAATTTAATGATTTTGTTTTGTTTTTATTGTATTTATTTAAGCAGTTACTTTCTATTTGTGGCAAGTAATACTAGTTTTACATTTGCTTGTCATTTCAAGATTTCTTATATAAGTAGAAGAGTTGAGCTATAGGAAAATACTGAGTTTTTAAGTGGAGAGTTTTTTCTCTCCACTTTACATCTTTCTATAGCCTTCCTTTCTGTGGTGAACTGACTTCTTAAGTTTATCTATAGGAGGTAGGTTCTGATCAGTTCTGAAACTGATGCCACAGAAAAGTGTTGTGGGTCTACCCCCAGCACTGAGGGATACTTAGTTGTGTACTCTTTCTCTCCACCCCATCATTTGACACTCAAAAAAGTTCCACAGATTTCCATAAGACCCTCTAGAGGGCAGTACCACCTACATGAAGAACCACCACTTTAAAGAAAACTCAACATTTCTGGTCATAATCACTCCATCCCTTAAGTGAAGTCATTGGATTGTGCCAGCTCTGACATGGTGTGACTGTAGCCCACAAGATCATCATTTGAACTTGAGCAGAATGCTGATAGCATGATTCTGAACTGGCTAAAGTCCAAGGCAAAAGATGTATTTTAGTTGTAAAACTTACCTCTAAATACAGTATATGTTTCCAGTTACCTGAATGATCTCAAAATGGGACATCTGGTTTCTTAAATTAAGCTTTTGCTGCTTCAAAACTTAAGTTTTTCTAAAATGCATTAAACCCAAACTGAAAAATACATAAGTAAAATATAATAGACTATATTTGAGATATAATGTATATAAAAAGTAGTTTTCAAGCTTGAAGAATATACTGACTCTTTGGAAAGGAAAAAAAAAATCCAGATCTTCAAGAATATAGAACTCTAGTTTGAGAAATACTAACTTTAAAAACTAAAGTTTTATTTTAAGAATATGTCTTTCAGTTGCAAATTGCCAATGTAAACAGAAGCTTTGTTTTTATAACCAGTATAAGGACTGACTTTTATTTACTTATTTTAAAGATTTTATTATTTTTAGCAAGAGGGGAAGGGAGGGAGAAAGAGAGGAAGAGAAACATCAATGTGAGAGAGAAATACCAATCAGTTGTGTCTTGTACACGTCCTGACCAGGGTATGAACCCAGGCATGTTCCCTGATCGGGAATTGAACCAGCAACCTTTCGGTTTGTGGGAGGATACCCAAACAACTGAGCCACCCCTATCAGGATGAAGACTTATTTTTATTTATTCATTTATTTTTTTTCTCTTTTTTTTAATTGTCCAAGTACAATTGTCTCTACTTTCCCCCCACCATTCCCCACCACCCCAGCCATTGATCCTACCTCCCTTTGGCTTTGTCCATGTGTCCTTTACACATGTTCCTGACAACCCTCCTCCCTTGCTCCCCCATTATCCCCTCTCACCTCCCCTCTGGTTACTGTCAGTTCTTAATTTCAATGTCTATGGTTATATATATTTTTAATATTTTATGTATTTTTAGAAAGAGTGGAAGGGAAGGAGAAAGAGAGGAAGAGAAACATCAATGTATGGTTGCCTCTAAAGCACACCCCACCAGGGACCCAGCCTGCAACCCAGGCATGTACCCTGACAGGGAATGGAACCAGCAGCCCTGTGGTGCTGAATCCACTGAGCCATACCAGCCAGAGTTCTGGTTATATTTTGCTTGCTTGTTTGTTTTGCTGATTAGGTTTCACTTATAGGTGAGATCATATGGTATTTGTCTTTCACTGCCTGGCTTATTTCACTTAGCATAATGCTCTCCAGATCCATCCATGCTGTTTCAAAGGGTAGGAGCTCCTTCTTTCCTTCTGCTGTGTAATATTCTATCATGTAAATGCACCATAGTTTTTGATCCACTCATTTACTGATGGGCACCTAACGTTGCTTCCAGCACTTGGCTATTGTAAATTGTGCTGCTATGAACATTGGGGTGCATAGGTTGTTTTGAATTGGTGTGTTAGGATTCTTAGGGTATAGTCCCAGCAGTGGAATTGCTGGGTCAAAAGGCAGTTCCATTTTTTGTTTTCTGAGGAAATTCCATACTGTTTTCCACAGTGGCTGCACCAGTCTGCATTCCCACCAACAGCGCAGTAGGGTTCCCTTTTCTCTACAACCTCACCAGCACTTGTTGTTTGTTGATTTTTTTTTAAGATTTTATTTATTTATTTTTAGAGAGGAAGGAAAGGAGAGAAGGAGAGAAACATCAGTGTATGGTTGCCTTTTCATCCCCTGCTGGGAACTGGCCTACAGGGAACCGGCCTGCAACCCAGGCATGTGCCCTGACTGGGAATCGAACCTCAATTGTGTGGGTCACAGGCCCGCACTCAATCCACTGAGCTACACCAGCCAGGGCTTGTTTGTTGATTTTTTTTTTTTATGATGGCCATTCTGATCAATGTGAGTTGGTATCTCATGTGGTTTTAATTGTATCTCTCTGATGGCTAGTGATGCTGAACATCCTTTCGTATGTCTCTGGACCCTCTGTATGTCCTCCTGGGAGAAGTATCTGTTCAGGTCCTTTGCCCATTTTTTAGTAATGGAATGAAAGTGAAAGTTTAAAAATTTTTCGTAGAATTTGTAGATCTTGGAGAATGTATCTGTGGGTCTCAGTTTAGGAAACCAAGTGTTCATAACATACAGGATAATTTAAGCTTGCTTGATTCAGGGGTCAAATGCCTCAGAGTAACAATTCTCAATCCCAATTCTACAAAATTCCTCAGTAGCATATAGGAAATCTAGCTGAATTTCTGTTGGTCACAGTGCCTGCAGAAGTCCTGGGTTATGTACAAATTTTTATTGATCACCTACCATGTACCTTGCACTGCACTGTATGCTACGGGGTATAAAATAAGATGAAGTCAAGGCTCTACTCTCAGAAGTTACAGTCCAAGTGGTAAAACATGCAAAAGGAGAATAGAGACCATTGATCCTATGTTTAGGCTGTGCCAAATACAGTGGTAATTACTTTAAGTGAGATAATATATATGGAAAAACTCAGCTTAAAATCTTTTAGTATTTCCCTCTTGGTCTCTTAAAAATTATGGTAAAATATACATAACATAAAATGTACTATTGACTTTTAAAAAAAATTTTAGCATTTATTTATTTGTTTATTTTTAGAGAAAGGGTAAGGAAGGGAGAAAGAGGGAGAGGAACATCAATCAGTTGCCTCTTGCACACCCCCAACTGGGGACTTGGCCCGAAACCCAGGCATGTGCCCTCACAGGGAATTGAACCAGCAACCTTTCAGTTCACTAGCCAGTACTCAGTCCACTGAGCCACACCAGCCAGGGCCCATTAACTATTTGTAAGCATAAAATTCCATGGTATTAAATACATTCACATTGTTGTGCATCTGTTACCATCATCTACTTCCGCAATATTGTCACCATCCTAAACAGAAACTCTGAACCTATTAAATAATTCCCCATTCTCTTTTTGCACTGGTAACCACAAATTCTAATTCTGAACTAATTCCAGTTTCTCTTTCTATGGATTTGACTATTCTAGGTACTTCACGTAAGTGGAATCAGACAATCCTCTGTGTCTGGCTCATTTCACTTACCATAATGTTTTTAAGGTATGTCCATGTTGTAGCCTGTATCATAATTTCAGTCCATTTTACAGCTAAATGAAGTATATAATGTGATGACTTGATGTGTATACTGTGTTAGTTGATTACCACAATCCAGATGATTACACGTACATCACCTCATATAGTTATCTTTTTCCCTTTTTTTGGCAGTGAGAATACTTAATGTCTACTCTCAGCAAGTTTCAAGTAGACCACACAGTTTTATTAACAACAGCTATCCTGCGGTGTGTTAAATCCACAGAGCTTATTCATCTAACTACAGGCTCGTACGCTTTGGCCAGCTTCGCGACACCTCCTCCTGCCCCCAGTAACCACCAATTTACTTTTTTTTTTTAACAGTTTCCCTACTTTTTTTTTTTTTTTTTTAAGATTTTATTTATTTATCTTTAGAGGGGAAGGGGGGAAGGAGAGAGGGACAGAAACATCAATGTATGGTTGCCTTTCGTGCATCCCCTGTAGGGAACCAGCCTGCAACCCAAGCATGTGCCCTGACTGGGAATCAAACTGTGATCGTGTAGTTCGCAGTCTACTTTTTTAAAAAATATTTTTATTGTATTTTTTCCATTACCATTTAGTTCCCTTATACTCCGCTCCCCCCTCCTCTTTCTGTTTCTATGAGTTCGACCTTTTTTTCTTTTAGATTCATTGTTTGTATTTGGCTAATTTCATTTAGCATAATGCCCTGTAGAGTCATCCCTGTTATTGTAACTGGCAAAATTTTCTTCTTTCTCATGGCTGAATAATAGTCCATTTTATATATATTTTATATATACTTACATTTATATATATTTATAAATATTTGTATATATTTCACATCATCCTGACCCATTCATCTGCTGGTGGACTCTTAGTTGTTACCATGTTTGGCTGTTGTGAGTAAAGCGCAGTGGATATGGGAGTGATTTAGTTTCCTCCAGGTATGTGCCCAGAGGTGGAATTGCTGGGTCATATGTTAGTTCTAGTTTTAAGTTTTTGAGGAAGCTCTATATCATTTTCCATAATGGCTGTACCAATTTACATTTCCAGCGATAGGGATTCCCTTTCCTTCCCCTTTGCTCTGGAGATAAAGATTAAAATACAGTGGGACCCTTAAAAAGGCAGCGAATCCTATAGTCACATGCTATAACGTTGATAAGCCTTAAGGACATTGTGCTAAGTGAGATAAACCAGGTACAAAAAGATAATAACTACAATTCCACTTAATGTGAGGTATCTAAAGTAGTCAAATTCAATGAAACTCAAAGTAGAACAGTAGTTTTGAGGCAGCAGGGAGAGGGAGAAAAGGGAGTTAGTGTTCAGGGGGTGTAGAGTTTCAGTACTGCAAGATGAAAAGGTTCTGGAGTTGTTTTACAAAAATACGAACATGCTTAACAGTACTGAAGTGTGTGCTTAGAAATGGTTACCATGGTAAACTTCGTTATGTGTATTTTGCCACAATTAAAAAGACAATACATGGGGTCCCATGTGGCCTTGTATAGACTGGTTCTTGCTTACTTCTCAAGCCTCATTTTCACCACATTTTCTGTCTTGCCAAAAAAGTTGTCTTTCGTCCAGCCAAATGGCCTTTACTCAGGTCAGTCCTCAGAGACATAGTGCTTATTACAACCTCAGGGCTTTTGCCTATGCTGTTCCCTCCAGCACTTTGCCGTAAGTGTCGTAAGGTAATCTCTGCTTATCCTTAAGATTCCAACTTGATCATTCATGCTCAGAAAAGCTTTTTCCGAGACCTTGCCTTCTCAGAGTCAGTCAAATATTCCTGTTATGCATTCCCATCATACCATCCATCTCTCCCTTGTAGGACGTAACAGGTGAATTTCACATTTATTCCTGTGGTTATTTGATTAATGTCTTTCTCCCCAAGTAGATTTTAACCTTCAGGAAATACTCGCTTTTTGATCATTTGTTTATATCACCTAACAGATACATGGCACTCAGAAGCTCAAGAAGTATTTGTTCAATGAAGATAAATATGTTATTGTACAGAATATGAATGGAGGCATAAGGAATCTCACCCAAGATTATATAGCTAGTACATGACAGATGCAGGATTTGAACATATCTGTCCAACTCCAGGGCTTAAATTTGTACCCATTATTCTAGACCCAATGCTACTTAAACTGCTTGTGGTGAAGGACCATTTTTTTTAGTTTTATATTTCCAATGTATCTAGACTGATGCTTTTATAAAATATGAGACCATATATTTGGATGTTGTGACAGTGTCAAATTACTGTAAACATTTCTAAACCCTTGTGCTCAGTGTCTGTACTTCCTCATCACAGACCAGCATTGGTACATAGGCCACACCTGGAGTAGCTTCAGATCAGCGCCCGGGGAACAACACATTGCATGTCAGCTCTGTAAGCCTGTCTGTGGAGCAGTCAGCTGCATAGTACAGCAAGGGGTGGGGGGAAGGGGCCCACAGAGAATTCCAGGAGAGCACCAGGCATGGGGAAGAGTTTCATGAAAAAGGTGGAGCTTGAAGAAGGTGTTAAGTCATAATAGGGTAAAATTCAGTGAAGGAGGGGGCACCAGAGAATTCCCAGAATATGGAGAAAGCTAGAACGTGCATTAGGAGACAAGGGGACCCTAGGGGTACTGGCTGACTGCTTGGAGAAGGCAGGTTATACCAAAAAGTAGAGATTAAACCGATCATAGTTTTCTTGTATTCATTTCTATCTACAATCCCCCCCGCCCCCCCAGTTTTCAAGGATTTCCATTAACCTAAGGAGGCTTTTTCCCCTATGAAACGACTTTTGAAAACCTAGAAACAATTGGTATTTTGATCACTGTTCTATTAGCTGTTTGTATCTTAGTGCCACCCACTTGTAGGATTGCACTCTATTATCTTTAATGATCGATTATGTTCAAATATCACCAAATATTATATTTATTAATTTAATAAATGTTTATTGGAACTTACTAACAGTCTGAATACTCGGTGGACTTTCTACTCGTTATCTGTCAGATATCAGTCCTGTTAAGTCCTGGGATTATTTCTCTACAAGGCTTAAAAAGTTAGTTCTTCAGTTCTCACCCTTCCTCCCTGCTCCTGCACCCAAATCATCTGAGCAGCACTCGATTGCTACTCTTTTCATTCAGAGAAAGCGCCCTCTTAGCTCATAAAGGGAGAAAAAGCCAAGTGTTCCAAATGTGCCTCTCTCAAAAATCTTTGTTCAGAAATACAGACACTTCTGAAAAATGCTCTTTTGAAAACCTGATTTGGGTGTTAAATATGTCAGATTGTTTTTAAGGATACTTGTAGTGTGAAAAGTTTCCACGCAGGACTGTTGCCAAATAGGCCCTCTCTTGTGTTTTAAATAGGTCTTCTACTTTATTCTCTCATTTTCTTCTAGTGTTTCACTTTTTAAAATCTCATTGTCTTGTTTGTATTTTTCAGTCAAGTCCTAATTCGAAGCAGAGTCCTCAGGGAAAATGGAAAATACATTCCCAAACAGGTACATCTTTTATTAAAAGCCTCACGATTCACTGTTCAGGACAGTAGCTATCTGAGTGTTTTATAAGGGACTCTTTGGGGAAAACTGAAGGTTGGCAAGTTAGGAATTAAGCTGTGGCCTGGTGGTGTTTGCTGTCACTGTGACCTCGCCCTTCTTAGGAAATTGCTTTTAAATGTGACTCAGCTAAAGTGTCAGCTCAGGTGCCAAGTAGGCTGTCAGCTCAGTGTAACAGCATATTCCAAGGGCCTCTGACTAAACCCCTGAGGAATAATTTGACAATCTGCAATGCCACAGTTTTGAGATTTAAAAAGCTCTTCTTTTCTATTAGTCTTTCCTGACACGAAAATATTACTTCAACAACCCGGAAGATGGATTTTTCAAAAAGACTAAAAGGAAGGTAGTGCCTCCTTCTCCTATGACTGGTATGTTTATTTCCTTCTTTCATCTTTAAGGAAGATTTTTAACGCGAGTGGGGGAATGAGAGGGACTAGGAGGATATCATTTGAATTGTAGAAGAACAAGTTGTAGAAGATATAATCTAAGAGAGCTTAGGTATCATCTAGTACAGGGGTTTAGGGAAGTCAAGTTCTCTTTTGCAAATAAATCTTCTGAAAGAAGATTATATATTGGGAACCCCAGTATATAAAGTGGATTTAAAAAAGAGCTCTCAGCTGAGGGATTAAGGAGGCTGGAGCCATTTTTCTCTGGGTCTCTCCCCCTTTCTGCTCCTCGGGATGCAGGCTGTGTGGAGCACTGCGGGAAGAGCTGGGCCTGCCACCGGTGCCTGCTGCTGTTGCTGCCAGGTGGCCGCCCAGCTTCTGCGTGAATGAGGGGATCTCGCACTCCTTCCCCAGAGCAGCTGTTTCTTTGTCAGACGTGATTTCTTGACCCTCCCTACAATTTTTGCTCTAACAGATTTATCACTTCCATGGATTACAGTCATGTGAAAAATACAGCATCTTTAAAGCAACATAAAATTTACTGTTCTGTATTGACTGTCCCCTCATTTTAGTACCCATTTCTTTAGGTGAAATAACCAGTTCTTTTAAACCCAGACAGGAGGTACTAGAATTTCTAATAAGTCTTTTAGAAAACCTACAAGGAACAAAAGACCAATAAATGTATGAAAAGATACTTGACTTCACTAAAATCGATGAAACACAAATTAAAACCAGATGTTTTTTTCATCTCATTAAATTGGCAAAAGTTAAAAAGTTTGACCAAAGCTGCTACTGCCAAGCTCATGGGCAGTTAAAGCCCTCTCACTGTTATCGAAGGACAATCTGACAGTATCGGTCCAGTTTTCAGAGTTCAAAACCCTGACCCTAGAAAGTGTTTGAGGTTCTCTTACAGAAACACTCACTAAAACATGCAGACTTATGTACAAGGTAGCTGTTGGCAGCTTTGTTTATTGGAGAAAAGAAATTGGAAACAATCTATAGTTCTACCCAATCATGATGACTGACCACATTGTAAATTCCTAAGCAGACGTTAAAAATAATGAGAGATATTATACCAAAGTGGAAATAGCATTCACGGTATATTAATTTTTTAAAATTAAGAAGCAGGACAGTAAGCATAGTATCCCTCTATTGCATATAGAGAGAGAAACTACTGTGTGTGTGTGTAAATAAAAAGATGGAAGAATCTTCAACAGTTTCAAGTGTTTAGAGAGTGGGCTCAGAGGAACTATCTATATCCTGTTTGCATGTCATTTAAGTTTTTACAATGAACTGATATTACTTTAATTATCAAATAAATTTAAAATTTACAGAAAATCAGGGGGAAGTCTCTGCCAACAGTGGTAAAATGTGGCGGTCTCTTGTGTTTCCATCTTAGATCCCACTATGCTCACAGACATGATGAAAGGCAACGTAACAAACGTTCTCCCCATGATTCTTATCGGTGGATGGATCAACATGACATTCTCAGGCTTCGTCACAAGTAAGTTCCCACCAACAAGATTCGAGGTTTATTTCATCTATGCTCCTTTCCCTTCTCCCTATTCAAAGAAATCAAAGTACTAACATCATGGGTTCTGTGTTTTGTAGTGGAAACTGGTAACATCCTTTGAATAACAAAAAACCAAAATATGCTATGCCTTTTGGCTCTTATTGCAAACTGTAAGTTCAGAATGTTGGTGCCTTTTTACTAACAGATATTCAAACAAGTGGTAATTTCATATTCTAGTTGAGTAGGATAAAGGGAAGCCTGTTTCTGTTTTGACTTCATTTTTTAAGTGTTGGTCCTTTGTCTGTTGTTTATAAGTTGTTTTGATTTGATTTGAATAAATTGGGTTTCCCGGTAATGCAGTTGTCTGTTTGTATATATTCCACTTTAGGTTCAGCAGACTAGTGCAAGCTTCTTTTGGGGCTTTAGGTCACAGCTCAGTTTGTGTCCCGCTTCTTCAGCCACAGCTCAGCTGGCGTTCATGGAAGTGCACCATTTGACTGACTTCTTCAGAAGAAATTTTTTAACAAGCTGTATGATACAGAGTTCCCACCTCTTCAGGGAAATAATATCTACATTCACAGCTAAACTCTTCTAAAAATAAAGAAGCCAGGAGTAATTGTGAACTTTTTCTTTCTTTGCCAGCCAAGGTCCCATTTCCACTGACCCTCCGTTTTAAGCCTATGCTACAGCAAGGAATCGAACTCCTCACACTGGATGCGTCCTGGTAAGAACTTTCTTTTATAAAATAAAAACACAAGTCAAACTCTAAAACTGGTATTTCTTAAAGAATAGGATTTCCAATTTGCATATTTCACAGGAATAGGTTTTTGGAGTTTTTCTCATTGAAACGCCACTCAAAATGACGTGAGTTCATTATGGCAACTTTTATATGAGTCTTAGTGAAAGACCAGAATGTGTAGGCCTCTTTTCTCTAGATGCTTGGATCTTCGGAGTGCAAGGGTAGATGTATTCACAGCCAAAAAGTTAAAAGATAAACCCAGGAACTTTGGCCGGGCAAACTTTTTAGTAGTAGCCTTGGAGGTTATGGGAGTGGATGTTTATATTATTTTTTTCCAAAATACATTACTGTTAGTAATAACATTAATTCTTTTAATTGGTACCAGTCACTGTGCTAGGTGTTTTTCATATATTATTTTTATCCTCATAGTCAGTATTTCACATATTGTGAAATAAGTAGAGAAATTGAGATTTAAGACAACAAAGTCTGTCCAAATCCAGCACTCATGTTTTATTTACGACTCTATTTTTTTATAGCAGAATAATAAAACCCAAAATCTGAAAAGTTCTTAGAATACTGCTATAGCATCTAGAACCCAGTACTACTTCTTCATATGGTCTCTCCAGACTGTGTTGTCTATGGCTTCCCAGAGACTGGCATTAAAAATGAAGCTAGACAAGAGGAGGAGGAGGAGGAGGAGAATGAGCAGTAGGGTCACCAGTGGTAACTTCCCTGAAGTGAGCAAAGCAGTCTCTGGTTGTATGGGAGGGGCAGGGCAGTCCAGGTGCCGGGAGACTTTTAGCTGTGCACAATTTCACTAGAGAAAACCTATAGTTTTATGAGTATCGTCTTGACCTTCCAGACACGTTTGAGCTAAGCAAAAACTTTATGTGCGAGGAAAACTTAATTTTTTCTGACTGACATGCTTGTGTGGACACAGGAGACTTGAAGATGGGTATACAACGAATTTCCTGCTAGATTTAGATCTATGGCATTATGTAGAGATAGGTTGATACTTAACCTGCAAGCCAGAGGAGTAACCAGAATAGGTTCCTGCTGTTGTGTGACTCAAGTATTGGAACGAGGTGTGGATTCTTTCTGTCTCTGTATCATTTCTCATTTGCCTTTTAGGTCTTATTATATCCAAGCATATTTATTTTGTGAGGGCAGAGTGGGAAATCTACGCTAGGAAAGGTTTGGTGATAAAGTTCCAAACTTGGAATGGCCTTCCCAGTAGCTGCGGTCTTTGGTATTGCAAGTGTTTCCTGACTAATCCTTTCCTTCAATATGAAACCAACTGACACTTGTGATTTCCTCTAGAGAGTGGGATTCAGAACTTTTATTTGATGTACTTCTGTACTGTTTCACTTGTTATTTATAACAGGTGTGTTGCTTTTATTAAAAATAAATGGTTTGAAAACCCGTTATCTAGAAAGGAAAAGTGAGCGAAACTTACATTCCCTGATTAAATGGAAGCATACCAGATGTGGATTCAGTTCCTGCTACTGAAGGCAGAATTTATTACCTAACAGTTTGCCCACAGTAAGCTATACTTGTAAGACTGCCTTCACAACTTGTATTTCATTTTTGGTTGTGCTTTAAATGAATATAGCTTACCCCAGGTAATTTCTTTACATATTCTGGACAACTTTGGGTTTTAGAAAAGCATGAACTACAATAATTCTGACATAACTACCTACATTGTTTCACTTTTGCTTTAGGGTGAGTTCTGCATCCTGGTACTTCCTCAATGTATTTGGGCTTCGGAGCATTTACTCTCTGATTTTGGGCCAAGATAATGGTAAGCAAAGATTACCAAGATAATGGTCAGGTTTAATAAGCAAATACTCTGGACTGGCTGGTGTAGCTCAGTTGATTGGAGCATTGTCCTGTAACCAAAAGGTTGTAGGTTTGGGCACATGCATTCCCTGGTCTGGGCATGTATGGGGGGCAACCATCGATGCTTCTTTCTCAAATCAGTGTTTCTCTCTCTCTCCCTTTCTCTATCTCTAAAAGCAATGAAAAAAATCGTCTGGTGAGGATAATAAACAAATACTATGGTAGATGAATCATCCATACCATAGTCAGAAAAATCACGTGGACTGCGCTGTTAGCATAATCAAATACAATGCTTTATTCTTTAAACTTATTTTTAAGTATCTCAGGTATTTTGAAACAGTCTTAAAAAATTCCAGGGTCAACCTTGGCTGGTATGGCTCAGTGGATTGAGTGCCAGCCTGTAAACCAAGGATCGCCTGTTCAATTCACAGTGAGGGCACATGCCTGGGTTGCCAGCTAGGCCCCCAGTTGGGGGTGCATGAGAGGCAACCACACATTGATATTTCTCTCCCTCTCTTTTTCCCTCCCTTCCCCTCACTCTAAAATAAACAAATAAAAATTCCAGGATCAGACTGAAGGTCTTAATTCTACGTGGCAATAGCAGGGACAAGATATAGTGCCCCGAAGTCTGATACCTACAAGTAGGGATGCGGCACTGGCAGTGTGAGCCTGTAAACCTGAAGCTGAAAGAAGGGCCTGGTTTGATCAGTCAGTTCATGCAGAGGTGTCCAACCTTTTGGCATCTCTGCACCACACTGGAAGAAGAAGAGTTGTCTCGGGCCACATGTTAAATATATCGTGATGTGTTATCACAAAAATCTCATAATGTTTTGAGTAAACTTACGACTTTGTGTTGGGCCACTTTCACAGCCATCCTGGCTGCATGTTGGACACCCCTGGTAGAGTTCTTGCCAGTACCTGCCGTGGCTGTCTTACTCAATGGCTGGGATCTCAAGCTAAGTCACTTAACCACTGTAATCCTCTGTTGTAACATAGGAACTTTGATCGTTAACTTCAGGGTTTGTTGTTAGGTGTGGATTAGGTAGAATATATAAAGCACTTAGTGAAACACTTGGCATTAGCACTTGTTCAGTAACCAGTGGCTGTTGTTATTGTTTCAGTTTGAAGTTTAGTGCTTCCTTTAGTTATCTCTCTTCTGCGTTTTCATCCCCATTTTTCAGGAGAGGTAAAGTGGCTTTTTCAGGGTCACGTAGCCAGTGTGAGGTAGAGCCAGTCAGTGAATCTGTCACATGATTCTGTAACTCACTACTGAGCATCTGCAAGTTCTATGTAGGAACTCTTCCTCCCCGGGAGTACTGCTGAGCCTTGGCACTCATGTAGGTACGTCTCACCCTGCAGCCGCTGACCAGTCACGGATGATGCAGGAGCAGATGACAGGAGCAGCTATGGCCATGCCTGCAGACACCAACAAAGCTTTCAAGGTACATTCACTTCTTCCAGCTTCGCTGAAGTTCCAAAAGGTGTTTACTAGAATCACTTTAAAGATGAGTTCCCTGAAGTGAGTGTAGTGTGTATTGTTCCATTATTTACACTTAAATTTAGCAAAAATGTATTTTAGTTTATATGTCCCTTTTTCCTGAGTGAATCATCTGTTAAGGAAATTGAAGATTCTTGGTACTTTCATGGGTTTTTAAATGCTCACCAAATTTAATCTACACTGTAAGTGAAGCTGTAAAAGTAGTCCACTCAGAGGCACCAGGTAAACATTTGGAATATTTTTTAACTTTTTAGGACCCTGTAGACATCAATATAAATTACATTTTAAAAAAATCAATAATAGAGCCTGTTAATGAAATGATTTTGTATCTTATAAAATGCAGATATAATTTTTATACAGTGAAATCTCAGTAATTTTTCTTCATAAGAAACTAGAAATAGAAGGGAATTTACTCATCTTGCTGAAAGTCATGTATGAAAAACCCACAACTTAAATCACACTCAATACTGCAAGTTTTTCATCTAAGATCAGGAACAAGACAAGGACATCCAGCCCTGGCCGGATGCTCAGTTGGTTAGAGTGTCTTTCTGGTACACTAAGGTCGTGGGTTCGATCCCCTGGTCAGGGCACATAAAGTAATCAGCCAATGAATGTATATATAAGTGAATGACAAATCAGTGTTTTCTTCCTCTCTCTCTGTCTCTAAAATAAATCAATCAATAAAAAGACAAGGATGTCCACTCTTGCCACTACTATTCAACATTGTACTGGAGGTTCTAGCTAGGAAGTTTAGTAAAAAAGAAGTAAAAGGCATTCAGATTACAAAGGAAGAAATAAAGCTATCTTTGTAGATGACGTAGTCTTGTATATCTACAAAATCCCTCCCTCCAAAAAGATCTATTAGAGCTAGTAATCAAATTCAGCAGGGTTTTAGTATGTGAGGCCAAAATACAAAAATCACTTGTATTTCTATACACTGTTAATAGAGAATCTGACACTGAAATTAAGAAAACAGTTCCTTTTACAATAATATTGAAAAGAATAAAACACTAAGGAATAAACTTAACAAAAGAAACACAAGACTTGTACACTGAAAATGACAAACATTGCTGAAGAAATTAAAGAATGCCTGAATGAATGATTAGAAAACTTAATATTGTCGAGATGGCAATACTCCCAAAATTGGTCCTCGAAGTCATTGTAAAACCTATCAGGATTCTACCTACCTTTCTTGCAAGTATTGACAGGCTAATCCTGACATTCATGTGGAAATGAAAGGGACCTACAGTAGCCCAAACAATGTTGAATAAGAATAAAGTTAGAAGATTCAGAATTCTGGTTTTTAAATCCTACTTCAGAGATACAGTAGTCAAAACAGTGCAGTTACCATAGGAATGGACATACAGATCAATGGAACGGAATTGAGCGTTCAGAAATTAGCCCATATCAATTGACTTTTGACAATGGTGCCAAAACAGTTGAGTGGGGAAAAGAATAGTCTTAACACTGGGCACAGAGTTTGGGTTTTAGGGGATTAAAAATTTTAGAAGTAAATAGTGGTGATCTCACAACATTGTGAATGTAATTAATGCCACTGAATTGTATACTTAAAGTGGTTAAAAGTGGCAAATTATATATATACTTTTTACCACAATAAAAAATTTTCTAATATAAAATGTAAATGGGTCCAAGACCTAAATATAAGAGCTAAACTATAAAACTCTTAGAAGAAAACATAGATGCAAATGTTTATGACCTTAGATTAGGCACTGACTTATCATATATCACATTAAAAGTACAAGCAACAAAAGGAAAAAATAGATAAATGGGACTTTGTCAAAATGGAAACTATTTTGTACTTCAAAAGACACCATTAAGAAAGTGAAAAAACAACCCACAGAATTGGAAAAAATGTTTGCAAATTATGTATTAGATAAGGGCCTAGTATTCAAAATAAAAAGCTATCAGAAAACTCTTAGAACTCAGCAGTAAGAGAAAACTCAATTAAAGAATGGGCAGTTTGTTAAAGAATGGGAGAATGTGCCCTGGCTGGTGTAGCTCAGTGGATTGAGCGCTGGCCTGTGAACCAGAGGATTGTGGTTTGATTCCTAGTCAGGGCACATGCCTGGGTTGCAGGCCAGTTCCCAGCAGGGAACACACGAGAGGCAACCATAGATTGATGTTTCTCTCCCTCTCTCCTTCCCTTCCCCTCTAAAGATAAATAAATAAAATCTTTACCAAAAAAGGGAGAATGTTTTGAATAAACATTTTTCCCAATAAGATATACAGCTACCCAATAATCTCATGAGAAGGTGCTCAGCATCATTAGCCATCAGGGAGATGCACATCAAAACCTCAATGAGATACCACTTCCCACTCCTCAGACAGTAATAATGAAAAAGATGTACAATAACGAGTGTTGACAAGGATGTGCAGAAATCGGAACCCTCATGTATGGTGGTAATGGTGAAGCCACTTTGAGAAAGCAGTTGTTAGCCTTTTTTCAAAAAGTTACAAATAATTACAATATGACCCAGCAATGTCATGCTTAGATAAATACCCAAGAGAATTGAAAATATATGTCCACACAAAAACTTATATAAGAATGTTCAGAGTGCTAGTCATAATTGTCAAAAAAAAAAAATAAGCAGACCAGATGTCCATCATCTGATGTACAGAAAAACAAAATGGAGCGTTTTGGTACATGGGTACAGTGCCTGGAGAGTGGGGTGTGTGCAGTGGAATATTGAGCCATGAAAAGGGGTGAGCATTGAATCATGCTACAACAGGGAGGAACCTTGAAGACCAGTAACACAAGGCCACGGTACTGTGTCCAGAGTAGATGAATCCAAACATGTAAAAAGTAAAGTGGTTGTGGGAGAGGGATGAGGACGTGTCTGCTGTTGGATGTGGGGTTTCTTTTTCTGGTGGTGAAAGGATTCTGGCATTAGACAGTGGTGGTGCTTTCACATCTTTGTGAATATGCTAAAAAAAGCACTGAATGTTAAAAGGGTGAATTTTATGCCATGTGAAATACAGGTGTTTTTTTTTAAGAACACAACCATGAACTAACATTTGTATTGCATGTTGAATTTCATACAGCATATTTTTAAAGCCTACTAATTAAAGGCAAAGTATTCAGCATTAACAGACGATTTGAGAAATGTAACCAGTCACTAGCTCCAGTGACTTTGAACAAATATTTTACTTTTCTTACTTCTAGTCTCCTTGTCTATAAATTGAGATTGGGGGTGGATGGGGTGATGTCAGCACCTACCTCATAGGACCGGATGAGTTTATACATGTAAGTAGCCTAACCCAGCTCCTGGCCCAGAGTAGGTGCTCGTGAAAGGTCAGCACTGCTCTTAGAAACAGCCCTTCTGCCCCCATCTCTCCCTGCCCTGGTGTTCTTTCCTTTGCAGACAGAGTGGGAAGCCTTGGAGCTGACAGATCATCAGTGGGCCCTGGATGATGTGGAAGAGGAACTCATGGCCAAAGACCTCCACTTCGAAGGCATGTTCAAAAAGGAATTACAGACCTCTATTTTCTGAAGACCAAGCCAGAATTAGCAGTGTCAGGAACTCGGAGTAGCGCTTAACCTTGTAACTTTCATTGGAGCAGGAGCCTCATGGAATAAAAAGGAGGATGCATGAGCTGGCGGGTGTGCAGCAAGGATCATTCTTGTCTGAGCCGGTTCCCCTTTATGTTTGAAACTGGAGGAATATGTGCTGGGTGACTTACCCGGAAAGAGCTATTTTTAAAATGTTCTAAATTTTCCATCTGGTGATTCTAGTAATGAAATTCAGAGAAAAGGGGAAAAACTCAAGCTAGTGATAATATATAAAACTTAGCAAAAAAAAAATACAGTCTTTGGAAAAGGTGTTGTCAATTATACTTAATTATTATGTGTAGTCAGCCTGACTTCTAACCACAGTAGACTCCTGTTTTCTTGGGATCCAAACACCCTGTATTTTACCTGTTATTTTTTGTTAGTGTTTTTATAACTTTCTTTACATAAATAATACATTTTCATTACAAAAATTTAAGAACTGTGGATGAGCAAAAAGTGAAACTCCCTGTGTTGTTCATTTTGAGCCTACAGAATAACAAAGAGCAAAGGGGTCAGAACCTTATGCAAATAAACTTTTTTCAGAGTGAATACCCAGGGCTAGGACAGACTTAGCAAAATGCGGTATCTCATAATACTGTCCTGTGAAAATCAGTGACGGTGAGACACTGCCGGATTCTCAAGTGCCTTCGGGATCATTGAAGACAGGTTAAATAACGTGAGGTCTTGATCCGGAGTTCAGAATCAAGTCCATTGATAAATCGATGGTGCTGTACCCTATATGGCTTCTTGGTTGAATCAAAGACCGTATTTCCCAGTTATTCTGCATAAGAGAGAGTTTCTGTGTCACTGTACAAAGGGAAAGAGGGCGATTGAGGGCAGGCGTAGTTAAGGGTTGCCCAGGAATCATTCTGTCTAGATTAACTCCCAGTGAAGTGGCCGGGTGCCATTTCAGTACTAAGACTGGAATGTAATTTGCATGTTGAATGCTGTAATCAAGAACAAACAACTCTTGACTCTACAAATTAAACCATCCTGTTTTCTTTGCCTGGAAAAATGTTTCTGTAGGTCATTAACCCCGTGTGACAGCAGTTAGGAGTGTCAATTGTGGGGCAGTACTGGAGAGTCTCAGGTGAAAAAGGGATCCTTGTCCTCGATGGACTCATGAGACACATAAGAAATGGGCAGTCCTTAATCTTTGGGTTACAGAACCTCTTTGAGAATCTAATGAAAGCTCTGACCCTCTCCTCCATGCATGTAATGCATGTGGACACACACAGATTTCTGAGGTAACCCCAGGTTCATTGGTAGACCCCCCCCCCCAGAGCCTATTCATAGTGACCCATAGACCCAAGGTAAGAAACACAGATATTTAAAATAGCTTCTTAGTCCTGGCTCAGTGGATTGAGTGCCAGTCTGTGAACCACAGGGTGGTTGGTTCAATTCCCAGACAGGGCACATGCCTGGGTTGTGGACTGGGTCCCCAGTTGGGGACATGCAAGAGGCAACCACACATTGATGTTTCTCTCCCTCTCTTTCTCCTTCCTCCTCTTTCTGAAAATAAATAGATAAAATATTTTTTTTAACTGTTGGGGAATTAAAGTAAAGTAGCTGCTTAAACAAAATATGAAAGGATCAAGGGTTCACGGGAGAGCGAATGTTTGACCAGGACCTTGAAAGTTCAGTGCAGAAGAGCATCCCAAGCAAAGGGGACAGAACCAGCAAAGGCCCACAGATTAAAATGTCCACAGTTCATTGCACCCCTGGGTAGCGGGAGTGGTGTACATATGGAAAGATCAAGGTTGGGGCAGAATGCAGTAAATGACTGGTGACTGGATGACATCACCCTGGTTCCCAAAAGTCATCCTCAGAGCATTTCAGTCTGCCTCTTCTCCCCACACAGACTTTGTCTTTTTCCCTGTGTCTGGGTGGGTAAAATGTGACACTTTTCTCACCCTTCACGTTGGTGGTGAATGCCCACGTGCTTGGCACCAGCAAGTCAAAAGGAAAAGCCTTTTTAGCAGGTCCTTCTCCGAACCAGCACACAAGTTCAGGGAGTGATGCTTATCGTGTGTGTTTCTTGGAGTTTAGTTTTGGCTAGGGTACTAAATGAGCATTTTATCAATTCCATCAACCTGGACTGATCCCCCAAAACCATTTAGGACATCTGAAATGTTCACTTACCAATTGTGGTATGGAAGGAACCTTGTATGGAAGGCTAAATAAATTTCAGCAGTCAATTGCACAACACAACTCAGAGAAATAATGACAGATTTGAGGACAGTGGGTACATTTGCACTTAGGGGTAAGTCAGTGTGGTTCCTCTGTTCCATAAGGAGTGTGTATATGAAAGTGTGTTAGCCGTGTATCTATGAAAGACATGGAGGATTACTAATTATGTAAGGAATCGTGCTATTCCAAGTGACAGAAGTTGAACTCAACCTGGCTTAAGCAGGTTTGTTTTTTTTTAAAAGAAATGTAAATTGGCTCAACTAAAATGCCCATCCCTGGCAGGGTCGCTCAGTTGGTTAGAGCGTTGTCGTGATATGCCAAGGTTGTAGGTTTGATCTCTGGCCAGGGCACATACAAGAAGCAACCAGTGAATGCGTACATAAGTGGAACAACAAACAGATGTTTTTTCTATCCCTCTAAAATCAATAAAATGTTCAGTAGTGTGTTGGCTTCAGGTACAGCTGGATCCAGGGGCTCAATTGTCATTGGGGCTTAGTTTTTTTCTCAGGTATGCTTTTTTCCTATTTTCAGGCAGTCTGTTTTCTCATGGAGACACCAGCTCAGTAACCCCAATGAAGAGAAAGCACCCCTTTCTGAAAATTTTCAGTAAAAATCAGGGTAATTGACATGATCTGGGTCATGTGCAAATTCCAGAAACTATTTAGCCCCACCTAAATTACAAAAATTGAAGATGGCATAGGAGTGATTCCCTAAAGGACAAGTATAATTGCCAGATGAAAATGGCATGGGTACTGGGCAAGAAAAAAACAATAGTGTTTTACCCTTTAGTCACCCACACTGTCTGGAATGTTCCCAAAAGAAGGTAATGCCCCTGTCCAGTGACTGTCAGACCATCCTGAGTGGTCAGGGAAGGCTTCTAAACAGAAGTGTCACCTCAAGATGTGAAGGGTCACAGGGAAATAATGAAAGACTATTCAAGCAGAGGTGACAATGTGTGCAAGGTCCTCAAAGCAAAGGTGGTGGGTGTTTTCACAAAACTGAAATAAGACCTGTGTGACCCTGGAATGGAGAGCATAAAAAGGCTTAGATGAGTGTTTGGTCCCTGCAAACCAAAGGGTCAGCGCTTCGATTCCCAGTCAGGGCGTATATATGCCTGGGTTGCATTGCAGGGAGAGGCAACCAATCGATGTTTCTCACTGCAGCGTTTCTCTTCTCTTCCTCCCTTCTCTCTAAAAATAAATAAAATCTTCTTTAAAAAAAAAAAGACATGATGAGTGTTGTGTTGTACACTTGAAAATAGTTGGTATGTTAATTATATCTCCATAGAGCTGCTTTTAAAAAACACAACACAATTCCATGAGCAGAGCCAGATGGCAGAGAGCTTGTAAGTCATCCTTCAGAGAGAAACTTGATGCTGACGTGGCAGTGGAAGCCTTGGGAAGGACTGATGTGAAGGGATTTGCTTCTGGGTGGAGAAAGGAATGGAGGGGTAATGTGGGCCTGGGCAGCAGCAGGGCAGCAGAGGAGGGGGGGCGTGTGAGGGTGACAGTGAGACGGCAGTGATATCAGGAGAGTGGGGTCTGGGAGTTGAGACCCTTTTGATGATTAGCTCCTGCATTTTAACCCAGTGTGTGGCTTTGCATAAGGCACTTGCCCTCTCTGGACCTCAGTCTTCTGTCTGTGGAAAGGAGATCATAGGGTGCAGCAACTAGGAAACTGTCTAGTAGTCCCTCAAAAAATTAAAGTTTCCTTGTGATCCAGCAATTCCACTCCTAGATAGATATATAGCCAAGATAAATGAAAATATGTTCACACAAAAAATATACGAGTGTTTTTCAAGTATTATAAGAGCCAAAGTAGACACAAACCAAATATCCATCAACTACTGAGTAATACATCAAATACAGTACATCCATACAATACAGTATTACTCAGCAATAAAAAAAGAATGAAGTGCTAACTTAACCTATGATGTGGATGAACCTAGAAACACACTCAGTGAAAACCAATCACAAAAAACTATATACGATTTGATTTTTTATGAAATGTCTGGAAGAGGCAAATCTGTACAGACAGAGGAGGTAGATTAGTGGTTGCCAGAGCTAGGACAAGGGAATGGAGAGCGATTGCTCATGGGTACAGGTTTCTTTCTGGGGTAATGAAAATGTTCTAAAATTGTGGTGATAGTTACACAACTTTGTGAATATACTGAAAACTGAATAGTACACTTTAAGCAGGTGAATTTTATGTACGTGAATTATATCTCATTAAAGCCAGTAAAGGTGGGGAGGGATCGTATGCCCTTTGCAGGTGACATCAAGATCTCATGATGATGGCTGTGAAAGGCTCTGGTAGGCTCGCCAGACTGAAGAGGGGGGGCATCAAGAAGACAGACACGTGCAAAGGGCCTCTGGAGTCCCCCAACATGTTCCCGAACCTCTCGTGTTCTTTAGCCGCCCCCGCCCAGCCACCGCGCCCGCTGACCCTGCCGTCACCCTGGTCCCATCTCCCTCCTCCTTCCCAACTCTTTAACTCCGCCTCACCCGAGGCAGCCTGGGAAAGTCAACAAGGTTCAGAAAACTGAGTTCTCTGTGCCCCTCCATGATGGGCTAGTACCCACTAAATAAAACATTTTATTTCTGCAGTTGGCTCACAAAATGCACAACCAGCCCCCGTGCAACATTTTTCTTTCCCCCATTTCTTTGTGAATTTCTTTTCCACTTCCTATTATGGAAAATTTCAAACATACACAAGAGTGAATAGAAGTGTGATGAGGTACCCATCGCCCTATCATTTAATAACTATCAATATTTGTTCGTCGTTTATGTATCTCCCAATGTCTTTTTTTCTGGGATATTGTAAAAGTAAATCCATGATACAATATCATTTTGC